GGACAGCAGCGAACTTTTAAAATAAAGTTTTTATTTTCTTCCCAAACTACGAGTATAGCAGTATTGATATAGTGTGCTTAAACTGGCGATCCACATGTCTGGACAGCGGGTTTTGTAATGAAGCTTTGCACTTCAAGCGTTTAGAGACGAAGAAAGGCCAGTTTATCACTCGATGTACCTTTTTTCAGTATTACAAGTTAAAGCATATCCACAATTAGATCAGTTTTCGAAGCAGAAATTGAATGTAGGTTTCTGGCCGGGGGTTAAAGTATTAAGAGAAGAAGACTAGAAATTATTTCATTGTTAGTTAATTTCTTCGCGCGTGGGGCTGGGGTTGGTCCCGCAGTTCTGGAAGTTTTGAGTCTGTTACAGCATGTTTAAGAACGTGTTATTGTACTCCCTCATTATGGAACACCCCACCGTCTCTTACTAAATAAATTCACTATCATGCAGTTAACGGTTACTTCGTAGTTTAACAGATGACCCGTATGACTCTAGAGAGTCGTGGAATTGCACAGTTCTTTATCACCCTGCTGCTGGCAGCGAAGCTGAACCGAGTGACTGAGAACATGCACTATTGATTTTGCCTCGAATCTGAGAGCTGAGGGACGCAGCGAGACAGTTAGGTATAATCCAGTAACAAGAAGCTCCTACGCAAAATTATGCGACCTACTTAAGCATCCTTCATGGAGACAAAAACCTGCATTACAAGACAGCGGATGAAGTGGAGGGCGTGACAATGGCCAGTTCACAATTAACCAGGCATTTGGTATCCAATCCATTACACGGCCACCGCACGGTTTTGTCAGCAATAACAAAGCGTGGAAAGCTGACCAAATGCATTCTTTACTCTTATCTAAACCACACCGCATTTGTGTTCGTTTAATGTAGATATACAAATCTATTGCTATAAAGCACGTCGTAATGCAGATGTGTAGTCGTGTTTTCCACGTATTTCGTTATACCTGCCTACTTACGTATGGAGCTGGGACCAGTAATGGCTGTAAATCAACTGAAACCGTCACTAGCGTTGCCGTCTTCCGAATTTCACAGAAACAGACTTTTTTTTTGCACATCGCAAAACACCTATAGCTCATCAACGGTGGAAAGTTTCGTACTCGACATTGTCTCCGAAATCGGTGTTGCGAAACGGCCTGCATATGCACAGCAGACAGCGACGTTTCGGATAATGTTGCAGATGTTGTGAGCTTAATGTTATGCACGACATACTTCGTGGGGAATGGACATTGTTGAGAATAAAACGAAATTTAAATTGAGTTTTGTGGAAAGTAGGGGTTGTACTGAACCAGTTAATTACTACATGCAGTGTCCCCGCAGATAAATTGATAGCCGCTCCTCTGGTCAAGAAATACGCCCCAACCCCACATGTCCTGAAACCCAGTTGGACATTACTGGGTTCATCGTACAGTGTATCCGATGTGAACCAAAGCTGAATATTGTCAACAGATCGTACCAAAGCTGAATATTGTCAACAGATCGTGATACAGTTCCCAGTATAAACTGTCACTATCCAGTGAGGGCCGAGTTGTTTCATGCGGATTGGCGGGCATGCATGATAAAACTAATAGCCGATTTTCCCAGTTCTTAGGAATGCACCTAAACTAACAAAGGGAAATCTTTATTGAGTTTGGGCTGCGTGGATTTCAGATTGGTTTTCTTATTTGGATGCAGTGCCCCATAACAATACGACTTTGAAGCGTATGTTAGTATTATGTACGTATATGTGCAGGGATGATTTTTAGTGTGTGGCCCTGGTTCACTGCTCTGCGCTTCACGGCGGCCGGTGCGCCGCTTGCTGCGAGGTGTATACGAATTTTCCAGATGAATCAGCGTGCCTGACAGCCGATAACGTTTGGAATGAAGGGAAGGAATTAACTTATGGACTGCTTGACGGTACAATGTTACCGGGCGAGTAGTGTGGCAGTTTGTTTATGATTTGCCAGCAGTAGGCAGCAGTTATCAGCTCCATTAGTCATTTGTTCTCAGCTACAGTTAATACTCAGCGCGGCACGTCATGGTACGGTGTACTTTAGAGCAACTTTGAAGCCCCAATACTCATTGTTTATTCATTGGGTACGCATGAATTCCCCAGTTTGAGTACCGAACCGATCGACGATTACTTGAGCGTGAATTTAATGGGAGAAATTAGTGGCAGACGACGTTACTTAAATTATAATTTCTTCTGCCGAGCGCTCCTGTTAAGTGTTCTCTATGTAACTTTACAGTCTCGTTTTGTACTGGAACTGAGAGCCTTCGTTTGCGGTACAATCGGCGTGGAAAGAGTTGCTGTACAGTTATTGGAGTGACGAATAAGAACGTTTTAATATGTTTATGCTAATTCATCTTCTGGCTGTTTGCGCTATGCAGATATGGGCAGTGTTGCCGACGTTTGGGAGGTACACGCCGCCTCGATCCTCACAGTCATCCATGAAGGCGGAGGCAGCACTGCCCACATCTGCACAGTTCAGACAGCCAAGAGCCGAATCAACGTGAACAGGTACCCACCATGAAAGTGTGGACATTGTCGGTTGCAGACTCATCCTGGCTCAATCAAACGTAAAACAGTTTTAAAACCAAAGAATATTTTTCTGTCATGCCTTTGCTGTCTGGATATTTTTGATGCTGCCAGTACCTAACTCATAGTGTCGAATGGATAACAATGGAACGAAGCGGCCGCGACCGTATTCGCGGTACTGATCAGATTTTGCGTGAAGGTGGTGGGGAAATAAAAAAAAAACTTTGCGAAACTACTTTGTACTTGTCTGTTCCCAGCCGAGTTTCGAATCTGTATACCCCTCGAACGCAAATTACAAGCGTTTCGCGTAGTGGGGGTTGGAGTCCAACTGGGTCCACTCGGCACGGCGGTCACTGATTGGCCTTTTATAGCCTGCCCCGGGTGATTATGATGGTGGAGAATTTGGTGGGATGAAGATTGGCAGGGGAAACCGAAGTACTGGGAGAAAACCCGTCCCAGCGCCACTTTGTCCACCACAAATTCCACTTGACCAGACCCGGGATGGAACCCGGGCCGCCGCGGTGGGAAGCCAGCGACTAACCGCTTCAGCTATGGCGTGGCCATCACAAGCGTTACTGCTTAGTCCAGATTACTCTGTAAATATTTATGTAACTTGCGTAATACAGATATGTTGGCTTTGTGGTTCTTACGCAGGCGATTATGAAGAATATGGTCTTTGGACTTGTGCCGCAGTGCAGTCCGGAGAAAGCCTTCGGGGCTGTAACGTCATACAGTCCGAACTAGCCGGAAGTACAACGCAGAAGACCACGATTTTCAGTATGACTAGGCCTGTAGGCTGTGTGCACCCACATCTTTTCAGCGATATGCGACTTGCTGTGTTGTGATCTCTTTAACAATCGCATAGTCTTCGTGATTCTGCACAACTGCTCGGTTAAACCATTTGGAGCTGAAGTATTGATTTATACTAGGTATAATGACGCCCGTAAATGTCGAATATGAAATAATAATAATAATAATAATAATAATAATAATAATAACAACAATTTTTTGGGACTCCGAAATATAGTTGCTTCTTCGGATCCGTGATAGCAGATTGCTTGCATATGTATTTCCCACTTTCAGATCCAGCCATTAAAGCCCCTTTAATAAATAGTCACGTGTAGGGGGGTACGCGTGACGAAAATAACGGTTTCTTAATCGGATTTATTAGCACTTCGGTTAGAAGTTCTCTTAATCACACTCAGTTACAACGCTGTCCACACACTTTCAGTTCACCGTTGCACGCGAACTAGGATTCTTCGTCTTCACTAGTCGTCTCCTGGCAACGGATTTCAACACAGAAACTAGCACTTCAAACCATTATGAAGTGTTCTTGCCATTTCGTATAAAATCACACTGTCCTCTGTGCTAATCCATACTTTCAACTACTTCTACCTTCTACTGCCGCAAGGTATTCTGGGAATCTCGTTATATAGCAGCGGCATGGACCACATAGAAAGCAGTTCTACCGTTACGTGGCGCAGACCGCACAGAAAACAAGTCACGTGATCACTGCCCAACTAATTCGATGGCGCGCTCACTGCTGCCTATCAACGAGCTATAACATTCGTCGACAGATGCAGTTTCCATTGTTGCTTGTTGGAACGAGTTTACCGAGCCGTTACCTAGAGACGGGTTGCATTCTATTGTTGCTCGCGTGTATTACTTAGCAGCTGCTGTTTCTATGGCTCAACAGTTTCTACATGGGGCAAATACGCCACAATGCCACCATTGATTTTTAGACGTATATTTGTGTATATGATAGAATAATTTAGTGCCGAATGAATTTCAGAACTTGACATTAAGGAATCTTGGTACATATTCTCATTTCTTGCGTTCAAGCAGAATATTGTACTGATTGTGCGATTAGTCTTTGGTCTTGCTGAACTGTTACTGAGTACTTATATGCAAACGAGAAGCCTTGTTTGTTTGATATTGCCTTGTATGGATGTAGGAGTGACAGCCGGTTAGAAAGCGTTTCATCCCTCGTGATGGAAACATTGGTAGTGACATATTTTCAGCTTCTTAATATGAGAGATGTGTCAGATTAGGATATCTCATGTAGAGTTGGTGAGAACTTCAAGCTCAGTTGATTGACGACGAGTTCTTTCAGCACTTGTAGTACACTATTGTCACGTGGCTGCTGCAGCACGAAGATAGCGAGAATGCAGCTAATTCTCCTGACATTGTGCTTCATGTTTTGATTGTCCTTGTACATGCCACACAAGGCTGTGTATTTAGTGTTTCAGGAGTGTGTGCAGAAGGGGCATAAAGTAACTGTCCACGAATTAAACGAACTCGATTATCGATTAAATGGAACTACCTGGTTAATACGAGATTTGTCTTTTGAATTGAGATGAACTACAGGCGTGGAATGACTTTAAGAACACGCCGCCTTGAAGGAGGTGTGATGTTAACTTGGCGCACTTGTAGCATATTAAACGCGTGTGTGCAATTGTTGCAGGACATGTTGGATGTGTGCGTCGGGACGAGCGTTGGAACCATCACGGAGCCTGACTGTCTGGGGCCCTGCGAGCCTGGCACCAGTGTTACTCTGGAAGGCATTGTATGGCATGAGACTGAGGGCGGTGAGTGAGACCTCTAGCGGTTGTTAGTTTGCTCTTCCCATGCTCTCACTCTACATTGAAGAGGTATTTTCATGTGACTAGCCTGGCCAGACTAAGCCTCCTCCTCCTCCTCCTCCTCCTCCTCCTTAATCTCATTCTCCTCCACATCCTTTTCTGTTTCCTTTCTTCATTTTTTAATGTTCTTCCCCACCTTCTGTCTCTTCCTTCATACTGTCCTGTGCATTTTCAGCGCATCATTTTCAGTCTCTTCCTCTACCGTCTTTGAATAATACAAGGCGGAAACAATACTGCCTCCATAACAGTTCAAAGAATTTCAATAACTTAATAAATACGAGTATCTTGAATTACAGTGTCTGAATGAGAATGAAAATAATATGGTTCAGTGTCCCAACTGAAAACTGCATAATTTATTAATTCTTTCGATGGTTTTTCATCCCTGTCTTGTTTAGGGAACCCCATAACATGTTATTCTTCAGCACTATTAATTCTATGTCAATCCATGAAACAAATGAGTTCGCAGAAATGTAAGCTGGTCTGTTGTGTGTTTAGTGGCGCATCACTCACTCAGTTTCTATCTCAGGCAGACAGTTGATTCGTGTTCTGCTGCTATTACCAGCATTCGCCCTCTGCTGTGATGTCTTATATGCACATGTACAAAACCACCACAGGTGTCTCACAAACTTTAAAATAATCTGGCAGTATTAGTTGTGGGGGGCGGGACATAATTAAACTGGTTTATGTTATGATATTCATGGTGTTCTTTGTTGCTTGTAGGACATTTTTGTATTTTGCAGTTCACTTGTAGCCCTACACACGCCACAGTTCAGGCACCACAAAGTCAAACTGAGTACCTTGGTGGGTTGGGTAGGCAGCATGAAACATCTCAGATTCTGTAGGCTGGAATATTACATGAACCTTGGGAGATAGAAAAGCTAGGAAACACATAATTCATACAATACACTGAAGTTAGAGTCACTTATTATTGTGATAGAAGTTTATACATACAGTACATATAGCAACATCACTAGGTACACACAGTAGGTAAATGTTTGCTTTCAAGGGTGTTATTTTGGCATTAATTTAGAAGAGTTAGATTATGATATGTTGCACAGAATATAAGAGGCTGCTCTTAGAAGACTGATTAAAGAAAGATAAAGAAGTTCTAAAGTTACTCTTTTGACAGCTGCTTCAGCAAGATTATCAATGGTAAACATCTGTCAGTTGATCCAAGATGACATGTTGCCTTTCTGCCAGAAAATTTAATATTCTTAGCTGGCTTCTAGTCAGGAGTTGAATGGAATTCAGAGCATTTCATTGGCTGGCTTCTCAGCACTTACTTCCTGCCAAGGACTGTATGAATTTCATTGGTTACTTTATATGCAGGATTTTGCTCAGGGCTTAACCAACTTTTTCAGCAGCTACTGATATGTGGTAGAGTGAGCCTCAACCGCGTCGTGTTTTTGTGGAAAACAGGATGTCACATTTCTGCTAAATCTCAAGAATTCTGCTTCCATCCTCTGGGTAAAGAAAAGAAAATAAGATATCTCGCCCATTCTCCCCAAAATGACTTAATGAACATAGACAGACCAGATACCTGTGTCAGTCTTCCATTCCTATCACAACTTAGATATGCATGCCCTTGTGAACTCTGGATTGATGCCAGACACGATCCAGGTCACTTCCACCTCAGAAAGGCAAACCCAGGGGTGGAACAAGGCTTGTCCTGTCACAAAACTGACTTCAGAGAATTTGTGCTAGCAACTGCAGTTATACATAGAACATAAGGTGAACATGTTTTGTCAAGAGTAGTTACGTTGTTTTTTCTTTGGCACTACAGCCCCAGTGGGCCTAGGCCTACCTCCATGCACTTCTCCGTTCACTTCGGTTTTTCTAGATCTTACGCATTCGGTAGGGACTCCTTGGGCGGGTGAGCAGCTCATCGCAAGGCCTTTACCTGTACACAAACACAGAAAAACGCGCACACACAAACTAAACATCCATGCCTTGAGTGGGATTCGAACCCACGATCCCGGTTTCCAAGCGAGCGAAGACAGTACATGCCTTAGACCGCTCGGCTACCGTGACCGGCGAGTAGTTATGTAGTTTGGTTTAATTAATTTAGATAGAAAAATAGTGAGATAAATAATTCGATATTAAACGGGAAGCATGCTCAGTAGTAAATAATTTAATACTCTCATTGATAGGGTGAGAAAGAGCAAGTAGACCAGTCCTCCTGCAAAGCAGTTGTACTGCTCTTTTTGTTCTTTTAATTATTAAATAATCCTTTTAGCTGAGCAGTTCCTACAGTGTCTCTTTCTTGCGGCAAATCGAAAGTCAGTCTAGAATGTTTTAAGTAAATTATAATTATGCGTTTTCCATCTTATATTCGCTCCACAGAAACTGTGAATGAAGCACGCTTTAACCACAGCTTCAAGAAATAAGTCCAGTAACATTTCTTTACAGTGTCCTATAACAGACACTTTTATAAATGTGTTACGCGGAACAGTAAGTCACAGCAGAAGGGGTTATAAAACATACGAGTATTTTATCTAAAATACTCGTACTGAAAGTCACGAGCAACAATTTTTTGTAAAGTAACATGCTTTATTATTGACAAACCAAATACAACACCTCACTCTACAGACCTTTCTTTATTTTCCCACATAATCACCACTTCTTTGTACACATTTCTCCCAGCGTTCTGGGAGTTTGAAAATTCCGTTCCAGCCATCCGAAGACACTGACGCACTGCTTTCTGAATTGCCTCCCTTGTCTCAAAACGTCCACGCAGCTGATCCTTCACAGACCGGAAAAGATGGTAGTCGGAGGGTGCCAGATCAGTGCTATAGGAGGGGTGTGGAAGAACTTCCCACCCCATCTTTGCAGTTACTTCCAATGTGAGACGAGCGGCTTGGGGGCGAGCATTGTCATGCAGAATGATGATGTTTCGTCCCGTACGTTTATCGCGTAATGCACGACGGAGCTTGTGTAGCGTCTGGACATAAGGAGCAGCATTGATGGTTTGCCCAGGTTCCAGGAATTCGGCCAGAATAAACCCCTCTGCATCCAATAAGACTGTGCCCATCACCTTCGCAGCTGATGGCACTGTCTTTGCCTTCTTTTTTGATGGAGAATGTAAATGGTGCCATTCCATACTCTGCCGTTTCGTTTCAGGCTCGAAATGGTGAAACCAATTTTCGTCACCTGTCACAATACAGAGCAAAAAATCATCGCCTTCGTGTCGATATCTTTGCAGCAGTTCTGAGGTGATCGCTTTTCGCTGACCTTTGTGGCCTTCGGACAATAACCGCGGGACCCAACGAGCACAAACTTTCCTATAGACCAAGCTTTCAATCATCTCCTGTACTGCACTGTGCCCTATTCCAAGTTTTCGGGCTATTGTGTCCACAGTCACACGCCTGTCATCTTCAGCGATCTCATCCACTGTTTCCTTGTTGCGTTCACTTGAGGCTGTTCGAGGACGACCGCTCCGAGGCTCATCTTCGATGCTTGTGTTCCCGTCTTTAAAACGTTTCACCCATCTTCGAACACTTCTCGCACCCATGCACACACTTCCATAAGCACGCTGAAGTCTCTGGTGAATTTCTGCAGCAGGGATTTCCTCTTTCACAAGAAATTCGATGACAGCACGCTGGCGAAACGACATATGGTTGTCGGCCATTTTGTTAGGAGTGATACTGGTCACGTGATGCAAGCTATTGACGTCACAAGACACTCAAGGTTAACAGAACAGCTGGTTCCACCTACCACAGTACTCTCTTTCGTCTGCTGTTCCCAGGCTGCATGCAAAAAAGGGTTGCTCATGACTTTCGGTACGACCTCCTTATTTTGTGAATGACCAATTTCTTTTGAACATCGGTCGCTCAGATGTTCTTGTCTGTTGTGAAGTCATACTTTATTATGTGACATTTCTGAGCAGCATGGCGATTTCTTAGTATCACCTTTCTGTTGTGTGAAAATGTAAGAGCTATAAATGTGGCCGATTTAATTGCTTACCCCTGAGAAGTACGATTATACCTTGAGAAAGTAGACTGTAGTAAACAGCTTTAATTCTTCATAACTTGTGTTCCAAAATTTGTTATGTAACTTCATATTAACTTAAAATTAACAATATTTCACTTTTTAAAATTCAGCACACAGAGTAAATTAACTGATACCTCATTTTCATGGGTGTGCTGAAGGTAAACCCATTATCTGCTCTTTGTGAGTAAACACGCAGAATTATCGTGTTTCATTTGAGCGCAAGCCGTTTATCGACCGTCATCTAATTTCTTTTGTTTCTGCATAGAAGTAGCCTGACGCAGACACTCACAGTCGGACAAAATTTGTGTATAAAAGAATTCAGAAGTATTCTAAACCCCTGAACTTTTAGCATCCAGTAAAGTATGTAATTACAGGGAAGTTCTTACCTTTGTTGACCGGTTCACGGCGCTGCGCTTCATGGCGACCGGTGCACCGCCGGCTGGAAGACGCATGCGAATTTTGCTGATGAATCAGTATGCCTGTTGGCCGATAACTTTCGGAATGAAGTAGTTACAATTCACAGGTCACACAAGGTGTTGAAAATTCTGTCCCTCTGCACGTGGACATCCTCGCACCGGCGGAAGAGGTCTGGTTTACCTCTGAAGCTGTTCTGCAGGGGTATTTCCCAACGAGTATTTTCTCTTAGCATTTCTTTCGCTCAGAAGTTATTGTTGTAAAGCACATACGTGAAGTGGGGGGGGGGCAGTAGCTGAGTCTTGCGGAAACCAGCCGTAGAGTCTTTCTTCTTCTGTTAACTCCGGAAAGAATTGCTCAAGAATGACCTGTACATATCCTTCGCAATTAATTGTTTTCTTAAAAACACAGGTACAGCAATTCTCCTTGCACTTACAGCACACCAGACACCAACTTCTACTGGATGGAGCGGGACTTCATGTGTTAGATGTGATTCTGTGAACTCAGTAGCGATTATTTTGCGTATGTATGTATCCGTGCAA